GGAACTTTAACTTTTGGCCGGGGCTTTTAACTTTTGGCCAGGAATTTGAACATTTGCCTAGAAATGTCCAGGGATTTTTCAGTTTTTGGCCAGGAATTTTAACTTCCGACTAGAAATGTCCAGGGATTTTAACTTGTGACCAGGAATGTCGGGATTTTAACTTTTGACCAGGAATGTTTAGGGATTTTAAGAAAATCGGGTCGGGATTTTAACTTTTGACTAGGAATGCTCAGGGATTTTACGAAAATCGGGTCGGGATGTTAACTTTTGACTAGAAATGTTCAGGGATTTTAAGAAAATCGGGTCGGGATTTTAACTGTTGAGTAACAATGATCACCGATTTTAAGAAAATCGGGTCGGATTTTAACTTTTAAGAGAATCGGGTCGGGATTTTAACTTTTGACTAGAAATGTTCCGGGATTTTAAGAAAATCGAGTCGGGATTTTAATTTTTGACTAGGAATATTCAGGGTTTTTAAGAAAATCGGGTCGGGATTTTAACTTTTGACTAGAAATGTTCAGGGATTTTAAGAAAATCGGGAAGGGATTTTAACTTCTAAGAAAATCGGTTCGGGATTTTAGTTTTTGACTAGGAATGTTCAAGGATTTTAAGAAAAATCGGGCCTTCGCGAGCGCTACCGCGTAGGGGGTGTTGCCTTCTTGGAAAATTTTGGGAGCGGCAGCTGCACATGTGGTACGTGTCACGCGTGCTTACATTCTCGCAAATCGTCCTCGTCGTCGTAACGAGCTGTATCAACCGTTTGAGAGGTGATTCTATGGTATGTTTTCAATTTTTTGCGACTGCATTGCGAACATAAGGCACATGATTGACAACGGTGCAAAGTTGTTCCTTCATGTTGTGTTTTTGCGCTGTGTCCGGATTCAGGGTAGGTGTTTTTTGCTCCTGCCGAACTTGTGCGGCAAGCTTCAAAATTTAAAATTCTTTGGGTTTTTCATTTCAGTTAAAACACCTAGATCAACGAATTTACGACTTGCAACCCAGCTCATTCCGCGTATGGCTGAAAATGATTTTTGATTCTTTTTTTTTTTTATTATTTCCTACATAAAATATCACGAATTTCTTTATTCGTTCTTGTAGTCATCAAAAATTTATAATTTCGCTTTGTATCATAACCACCTTTGTTATGGACCAAGAAATGACGAAGCAGTAGTGTCAGAGTTTTGTTTGCCGTCGCAGCTATGTTTCGGATTTCGGCAAGAGTCATGGCTTGTGTGACCAGTTGTAACATGTCATGCAAGGGTCATGTTTTGGGTCAGCATGGCCGCGATTACGCATATTGCAACACGAAGCCAATCACATAGCACCGGATTGGCAAGACGTGGGGCATACCCAACCGCGTAAGGAGATAAATGTGCATCACATGGTATGGATGTTAGTCGTGGTTGTTGATGTAGGTTGCTCAACAGCTGATGGGCGAGGCTGGACGATGAGCTGAGCTGCACGACAAAGACGGTGGGATGTTTGGTTGGAAACGTGGTAGTCGCCAGGCGGAGGTGCGTTTCCTTACTGCGGAGGGCAACACTGTGTCCACACGCCCGTTGGCACCAGCGGCTGCTAGACAGAAGAGCCAGGAGAGTACGAAACGGAACGGCGTAATTTTCGGACATGGCAACAGCTCAGGCCGGCCAGCAGCTTAAGGCTTGGAGCATCGAGCAGGCACCGGAAGTCGATCCGTACACCTTCTCCTCGCTGATATGATGCTGTAGCTGAAAGGTGTGGCAGGCGGCGCTGGGCGAGTCGGAGGCTTTGGCTGTTCGTTGTCCCTGGAATCAGCTTTCGAAATCAGTTTTCGCCAGAATATCCGAGGCCTCTTGAGCCTCGACCGAGTCGGTCGGCTTCGGAGACGGCTGAGACGGGAGCTGGCGACAGAATTTGGGCGCCAGCGATCGCAAAGGCCGAGGGGTCTCAAAGGCGCCGGCGAAGGGGTGTCAGAGATCACAGAAGTGTCCGCGTCAGGTATGGGAGGACCTGGGAAGTCGACCCGGTTACGGCTACATGCAGGACATGTGCATCAGTGGCTTGCAGCAAGGCTCCTGCAAGCACGGAGGGGCTGTGGCCCGGGTCCCGAAGGTGCCGAGGCGGTGGACGTTTTAGGTGCCTGGATGCGGAACTGGTTGCAGTCGGTGCTCGGAGAGGCCCGTCCAGTCGAAGAACTCCCTCAAACTGCTCCTTTGAGAGTTCAGGCTACCAGGCTGGCACGATACCGTCAATCAACGGCGAGGGCATCGAAGGCTGGCTTGGTTCAGGACTCTCGGATTCGTACCGTGCTGGCTGCTGACTGCGGAGGCTGATGTGCTCCAGAGCCAGTCTCAGACTTTCTTCAGTCTTGCAAGCTTTTTGCATTTGTTTTTGCCCAGGATCACAGCTGCAGACATTCAGTTGGCAGTCACGATGCGGCTTCGACAAGGTTTGTTGGGACCCGACTCGTCCTGCCTTTGAGTTACTTCACTGTCAGGTTTGGATGGCGCGCACTTCGCTGAGTTGCAAAGGAGCATTGTGGGGGAACCTCCAGTCAGTCGCGGGAATCCGAGGGATTTCTGCGATCCAGTGACATGTGCGAGGACTCTCTGCTCGGCGCTTCCTGCTACACGAGGGAAATGAAAAGCTGGCAGATGTTCTTGGAGCCTAATTCGCAGTCTGCACAGGGCCAGAAGGATGGGATTCGGGACAGTTAAGTGATGCCTTTCGTTGTGGTGCCCGCAGAGCTTGTGATGGCTCGCAAGGGATTCGCCGCGTTTCAGTATCGTTCAGCGCTGCCATGAGGCATGTCCTCGGGCGGCACATTCGTGCCTGTGGGCACCGGGCCTTCAGCACAGAGAAACCCAAAGTCATGATTTTGGGAACTGGTTGGGCAAGCTTTCGTGTCCTTGCTGACATAGATACCAAGAAGACAGACGTCACCGTCGTTTCTCCTCGAAACCATCTGCTGTTCACGCCAATGTTGGCATCTTCCGCACTGGGGACGGTGAATCAAAGATCGATTTGCCAACCTGTGCGTCCGTTGGTGGCTAAAAAGAATGCCACCTACTATGAAAGTGCTGTTGTTGCGATTGACAAGGCGACGAAGAAAGTCACATGCAGAACGGTGGGAGGGGAAGAGTACATGCTGCCGTACGACAAACTGGTGGTGGGAGTGGGCTTCCAGCCGAACGACTTCAATATTCCAGGTGTGAAGGAGCACGCCCTCTTCATGAAAGAGACGGCAGATGCTACGCGATTCAAAGACCATGCGCCAGGCTGAGACGTCTGGAGAGCGGCAGCAGTGCATGTCGGGGGGCATAAGGGCAAGATGCGATAAGACTTCCAAACCGAGGTCTTGGAGAAGCTGGAGGAAGCCTCCTACCACCACGCGTTGGACAACGATTTGTCCGTGAGTGACGAGGAGCGGGCGAGGATCCAGGACTTGCTGACCTTCGTTGTGGTAGGAGGTGGCCCGACGGGAGTCGAGCTTGCTGGAGAGCTAACAGACTTCCTCTATAATGAGGGTGCGAAGCTCTACGGTCACTTGAAGCACTCAATCCGTGTTCACATGTTCACCTATGACCTCCTAAACACCTTCGACCAAGACTTGCAGGATTATGCTCTGACCCACCTGCAGAGAAAGCAGGGGGTTCAAATTCATCTTGGTGCCTTTGTTCAGAAAGTGGAGCCAAACGTAGTGCACGTCAAGACGGGAGAGAGCCTGATGTCGATTCGCTATGGCACACTGGTGTGGTGTGCCGGCATCAAGCCTCATCCATTCGTGAAGTCTTTTGGCTTTACGATGAATGATAGAGGATCTCAGATCCTCGTAGACCCTTACTTGAAAGTGAAGGGGGAAGATGACATCTATGCCATCGGCGATTGTTCCACCATAGAAGATTACTGGCTTCCGCAAACAGCGCAAGTTGCCAATCAACAGGGGCAATATCTGGCCAAAGTGCTGAGTCAGAAAGACCCCTTGAATATTAAGCCTTTCGAGTTCCACAACAAGGCACGGCATGGCATTCTTTTGACATTTTTTTCCTTTTCATGTTTATGTCGGTATCGGTTTCGCATGTTGCTGGTATGATGTTCAGCGCTGCAGGGGTTTAGAACCGCTGATGAAGCACTGCAGTACTTCGTACTTCAGAGTTAAAGTTGCTGTCCTTTTTTTCGTGAAGGGGACGATGGCGTACCTCGGCGGCTTTACGGCTGTCATGGCCCAGCTCCCGGGTGTGAGCCGGGTGACTGGCTTTGTTGCGTTTCTTGGCTGGCGCTTCACCTACTGGTTCCTCCAGCTTTCGATGCGAAATCGTTTCATGCTGTCCACCGACTGGCTTCGAGGCTTCTCTGCACCAGCAGCTTCTGGCAGCTTATGATGTTGTCCAAATCTACCCGTCAAAAAACCCTACACCTTTCGCCCCCCTCTTTCCCGTTCCCAGGAACTTTGATTTTCGGCCGTGATCTCACAAGATTTGGGCCCCGGTCCAAGCCCGAATGATGCTTGGGCGTGTTGCACTGTCGGTTGCACCGTGTCAAAAAGCCTCTTGCAACGGAGTGCTCCCTCTGACTCGTGGTGCCGTGCTTGCAGATGTCTTGCTATTGCAGCCATGGGCCATGACTGTAGCGACAGAGCATCTGCGAACATGCAGAACGACAGATTCTCTGGGTAGCTGCCGACATGCAGGCAATGAGCAGCGACACAGTGCAAGACTGACTGCGGGCAAAGCCCGGGCTTGCGCCCGCCCCGATCTCTTCTGATCACCTCGTCTCCTCGCCAGGCAGGGTGCAAAATTTGGCCCTGGCCATGAGAGCACATGTCACACGTAAGAGTGTATGTGTGTCTCTGTGTGTTTTTCAGTCGTCCGTTCCGCACTTCGCTTTCGGCAGCGGACTTTCGCGAGGCTGACACGTCTCGCGTTTTGTAGTCGGCTTGTGCTTGTGCAGGTTCGTCATGGGGAAGGACGGGGTAGGGTTGCATCATGTTGCATTACTTCTCTGGCTCCAGCTCTTGAGAATTTGAGACGCCAGCAGGGCCAGCGTCGACTGATCAACGAAGGCGCGTCTGCCGCGCGGTGAGACTGGATGCAGGGACATAGACCGCTCTCTCTTTTGGGGCCAGGAGCGTCTGGCCAAAGCTCGCCTTTCCCTCAGTTGTGAGGTTTAGGGTTTAGGGTTTAGGGTTTAGGGTTTAGGGTTTAGGGTTTAGAGAGACAGGGGCTTAGTGCCTTAGTGGCCTTAGACCAAGGCCGAGCTCGTCCCTGGGAGAAGCGCCGGCCCTTTTTTAAAGCTTCGTCTTCGCATCTGCCGTCCGCATTGTGCCATTGTGCCAGGAAGCTCCATCTCCGAGCCGGGAATGCCCGTAGCCACAGTTTTCACGGTGCGAAACGGCACGGCATGGCATGATCGGTCGCTGCTAGATCTGGCACAACCGGAAGTTGATATGCACGCCTCTGCCAGTGTTCAGTGCTCAGTGACGGGATGCGCGATTGCAGTGGGAGTTTGCCAACGAACCACAGCCGCAGCCGCCAGGCATTTATCACAGAGCCGGAGCTGTCAAGTTGGGAGGACTGCGTGCAAGCTCTCGCGCCCCGAAGAGCGGGGAGGGCGCATGCAACAAGCCATTTTGCATGGCTTCGAAGCAGCGTCGCGAAGTTTCTGAGCTATGTTGGGGTACGTGGTTGAGCAGCACGGAAGCCTATAGAGCTATGTCAACCGCTGCTGTTGTGGGCCCGAGTCTGCGCAGAGATGATGCAAGAAACGTTGGGAGTGACAGCGTGCCGGCATCCAGCACAACTGCAGGATTCATCATACTGGATATCTATGGTGAAGCAGAGCATCTCGTCCAGTCTATCGGAACGCCGGAAGCTGAGCCACGACGTGTCGTGGTCTTATGCAATCAAGGCTTTGGGAGAGTGTGGTGCCAAAGTGGTTGGTAGTACAAGGTGAGACGCTTATCGCCGAACTGAAGCAGGCAAAACCGAGTTGCCGGCCTGCCACTTTCGTTGCTCTCTTGTGGCAGGTTCTGCAGGCGGCAGTCCGTGAGCGGGGAGAGTGGCAAAAGAAGGCCCGAGGTTTTTCTCGTGTGGCCGGGGGCAAACGAGCACAGGCACAGTCCGTTCAAAGCGTCAAAGTGCTAGGTCAAGGCGATGCGGCGTCCGAAGCTTGGTCTGTCACAGTCAGAGTAGACCAGCAGAAAGAGCTTTTTTGTGTAAGGTTTCCGCATCCCTCCCGAGCCGGGCCACTGGCATGCCCGAATCTCAGCCGAGCGAGTGCCTGAGCAGGAATTGGCACAGCTGGTAACTTGAGGAGTCGGTAACCTCTGCACTGACCTGGAGGATGCGTGAGGCGAGCGACATAGTCGACGCTCGCTTGTTTCCTGCTCTTTCTACGAGCCACGCGAGGTCGAAGCCTTGCAACGCGAAATCACATTGCTGGAAATGAGGCAAAGGGGAGAGTGCAGGGCTCAGTGTTGACGATGTGGATGACTCTCGTGAGTGCTTTCACACTTAGGCAGCGCGACATGTGCCAGCTCCACGCGAGGCAAAGCAAGAGGACACCGGCTCTAGTCCGGCTCTTTCTGCTTCCCTCCCAGCCTCCGAAGCAAGACTCCCACCAGCGGAGGAGTGTGGGAGCAGAGGCGCGGGACAGTGACGAAGCGACCGGGGGCCGGAGGCTGCGCTCGCCGAGCACTCTGACTCTGAGGCTAGCCGTTCTTTTCGCAGCCGCCAGAGCTCCGGCCCGGAGCCCAGAGAATCACTGATGCAGGGGTGCAGCCGGTCGGCAGTCTCCCCGACAGAACCCTCACAAGTCCACATGCAAGCGCATCACAGTCCGCCGGCGGTTATAATGGCACCTCATCCATTGAAGTGAAATGCCCTCAGCCAGTGTACATGTTCTGCAGCAGCTGCAGCATTGCTGCATCAGCGGGCAGGTCTACCACGAGGGGTGGGCGGTGGGGGCTTGTATTCTTTTGTGGCGGCTCTCGTGTGAAGCACTTCGCCGCTCATCAGTGTCGCATATGTGAGGGTCCAGAGCCGACGTCGACGGACAGTAGAGAACTTGGACGTGTTGCCTTCAAGGGTAGAACACTGTTTTCTGATCTTTGGATATGTTGTTAGCTGAGCCAATGTTCAAGCTTGCAAAAAAGCAATCTCCCGCAAGACTCACTTAGGAGAGCGATTACAGAACCTTACGTATGGCGCAAAACCGTGCGGAACACTCCAGCAGATCGTCACCCACATCGCATGCGATGCGGTGGACAGTTTGGCCCTGTTACGTTAGTAGCACAACAAGAACTTGTCTTTGCAAATCAACGGTCAGCAGAAGCCACATCCCAGGTGCGTTCACTTGTCGGGAAAGCTCCAAGTCTGGCTCTGTTGGATGGTGCGCCGCAGCAGATTTGGAGATTTAATATACTTCGACTTGATGCTGTGTAGCAGTAGGTCTTGCAAAGCTTATCAACAAGGTAGCAAGGGTATATCCAGGCTTGGTCAGGCAGAACGGATATGCTCCCCCTGCTCCTCAGGCACAGGCCCTTCCCACGCGTGAAGCGAAAGCCCGATCTGTCCCTTTAAAAAAGTGTTCGTCTTCCTTCGCGTTCCTGACGACGAGTTTGCTTTTCGCTTGGCAGGGCGGGCAAGGCTCAAAGCGGCAGTCGTGCAGATGCGTGCAGCAGCTTGCATTGGCAGGGTTGGCAGCCGAGCAAGACCAAAGCCTGTTACCTCACGAAAGCCGAGGTGTGGCCCATTCTGAGCTAGAGTAGAGTGACTGTGTATTCAATGTTTCAAGGGTTCCACAGGTCTCTTCACGTGATCCTAGAGCCGAACCTTGGGTCTTTGGTGCGCCGGCGGCAAAGAACAGAGGCGGCAGACGAGCCGTTCGCTTTGAAACCGCCGTCTTGCCTTTGGCGATGATGTTGCTCGGAAGTTTCCAGGAGCGCAACTTGCCTCGCCCCTCCTTACCCCTCCCTGCAACGCAGCTTTCGGAGGTGCAGCCCCTTTCCGGTGGCCTTTGTTCTCGTGCCAAAAGAGGTGACACTGAGGCTCGGCATTTTCCAGAGCATTGCGTGGCCTGGCAGTTTTGCTGACCTGGCAAGCAAAAAGGTCTACATGTGGGGATGGGAGCCCACCGATGCCTGCTTCCAGGATCAAGAGTTTGCGCCGCATGCTCATGTCCTTCGTCCAGCTCATAAAACCCGAGTAGAGCTGAGAAGCAGTGAGCGGCTAAAGGAGCCAATTGAAGGGACCGTCGGTTCAGAAGAGTTGTGCTTCAACATGAAGTCCTCGCTCAAAGGTTTTCGTCCTACACGCTGCCCGACGTGCGATGCTGAGGGTGTTAAGATGAGCGTGGATGCCAGAGAAGAAAACGAGCGGGATAGGTTCCGCGCCTGGGGCACCGAGAGGCCATTGTCGAGGCGGGCAAGGGGGTACACCGCTTCAAGCATGGGGCGTGGCTGGTCTTGCAGCGGAAGGCGCAGCTCCTCCACGAAGTGATGAGCGGCTAAGTGAAATCTTGTTCTGTCCGACGCTTCCGGATGTGCTCTAGCGCACATCGGGCCCCTAAGACATCTCCGAGGGCAGCTCTGACATTCCTCAATGGAAAGGCAGAAGCTGCAACGGCAGCCAAGAAGGCCGTCGCAATGGGAAGAAAAGGGCACCTCGATACAAAGCTCCTGTCTGCGCTGTGTACTTCGTCCCGTGGTCTTGTCTCCTGCAGCTACCGGCTACGAGGCAAGCAGATCCTTTAAAGATGGCATGTGCCTCGAAAACAGACGAGGACTTCATGCGATTGGCTTTGGAAGAAGCCAGGGCTGCCATGCTGGAGGGCCGATCGCTTCAGACATTGAGCAGTGTGTTCGGTTAGAGGCTTTCCGTTTAGATCAGCGGCATGCTTAGGACTTAAGAGGGCGGTGAGTACCATGTGCATTTCCGAGGAGAGGTGCCTGTTGGGTGCATCTTGGTGAGTCAAAGCGGAGATGTGCTCGCGCGTGCGGGCAACGAGACGAACCGTTCCCGGAATGGCACCTTGCCGAAAGACTAACGACGCTGTGCTGTGTCCACGAGGAGAGTCTGCTCAGGCACGCGCCACTGTGAGTTTGTGGCCTCTGAGAAGGTGCTTCGGCAGGCGCCGGGTGTGCTGCATCTGGAGTTGCCGTTGTGGTGCTGGTCTTGCAACACTCGAGGCAGATGGCCCAGCACTTCTTCGAAATAGCACACTGTACGTGACTCTGGAGCCCTGCATCATGTGCGTCACTTGGCTTGCGGCTGTTGGCTCCCGGCCCAGTGAAACTTTCAGCTTGAGATGCACCAATGCGCACCAGAAGGCCGCAGCTCTGCAGTATCTCGGCATCCCGGAAGTCGTGTTTGGCTCTGCGAATGTTCGCTTCGGTGGATGTGGCGGAGTTTGCGACATTCACAAGATGAAGGTGCCGAAATCAGGCACCGAAAGATGCATTGCTCCGAAGCGATGCCACATTTTGTCGGAACTCAACATCATCACCGTCGTCATGATCATCATCACCATCATCATCATCGTCATAATAGTCGTCGTTATCGTCATCATCCTCATCAGTTTTGTTTATGCTAGGGACTTTCCTTGTCACTGACTTTAGCTGACTTTAGCTTCTTGAAGCGCCTGCTTCGACTTCCGTTCAGCTGAGATGTCCCACTACCATCCCAAACCCGAAGTGCAGGTACTGCAATCTGCACTGTTGGAAGACTGCGAACAATACTTGCAACTTGCTGTGGCTGAAGCTCTTGGGTGCTTTGGATCTGCCCATCCATGGTGTGTTGTTAGAAGCATCCTGCATGGAGGCCCCGGCAGGGGTGCCGATGCAGCGCGAGAAGCCCTTCCTGGATTTGCATGCCGGGGCGGCGTGCTGGCTGAGGACACCGTGCTTGCAGCGGCAACTTGGAGCCGTGGTCTCACCATGATCTGACCGTGGTTTGAAGGAGGCTGTTGATGTGCTTCGAGTCCCTTTCCTGCAGCAAGCAAGCAGTAGAGTCGGCGTAGTCTACCTGACGGTGAATCAGCTCAGGAGTTTTATGCCACCGGCAACCCCAATGCACCTGAAGCGAAGCGACATCGACCGCTCCCGAATGCTTCGACGAGACTCTACACGAAGACTGCCTGTTATGTTAGGTGCGCTTCTCCGATGTCAACAGGTTTGTATTCTCCTAGAATATCTTTACACCTCAGGTGACACCATTGGGGACAAGGTGAACGAAACTTTGCGGACGGAAAGAGATTCCTGTGCACACGGGCGTTGTCCAGGTGCTGCTGCTGCTTCCGACTGGTACAATCACCGTCGGCCAGAATGCTGGAATGGTTTCGTTGCTGTTCGATATCCTGCCACCCGTGTCCGAACTCCTGCCCGTCGAGCCGCCTTCCTTCCATTCAGAGTCTCGAGCACGACTCGAGCACCCTGAACGATGCTTTGATGGCCTGGACACACGTCTCGGTCTTCACCACCAAGTAGCCACACCTAAGCTGAGCCTTCCGGAAGCAGCGGGCGAGAATGCGAGTTCAGGCGACACTCAGCAGAAAGAGTCTGTCCAGAGAGCAAGGTGGTTCCAAACGCATTCAGGCTTCAGATGAATCGTTTTTCAACGTCGTCAGCATTTTGAAGGTAAGGTTTTGACTGATTATGGGTGCATACCAACCGCAAAACAGGCCATAGGCCTTTGCTTGTCCAAGCAGAACAGTCTCAATTTGGAGGCAGTTTTACGATACTGCTCTGGATTCCTAGAGCCACAGGAGCACCGCCACAGCAGCACTTAGCATCCCTACCTGCACCCAAATGGGTGCCGGCGCCAGCAGTGGCAGCAGTGGCGGCAGCAGCACTGCACTACCACTAGAGGCCATTGGCCGGTTCTATCTTTAGGTATTACAGCGAGAGCGTGATAATATTGCATGTCGCACATATTCGGACAGAAGTGCGAACCTTCCCAGCATGAGGGAAGCGCAGCTTTTCATTGTGGTTGGCAGGTGGGTTAGCAGGCACGCATTCTCAACTGCAATGCAACCCACGCATGTCGGCACGTGCATCGTGATGACGCGAAGCTTCACATCTGTTTTCAGCAATACGGCAGGACACAGCAGGACACAGCAAAGAGCCGTGCACCGCGGAGCTCCGAGCAGCCACAGTTCGGCAGAATGGCACGTCATGGCCGCGGATGACCCGCGATTTTCTTTGACAAGGGCTTAGCTCAGCTTGGCGTATTCGCTCCGTGGACCCGCGGCTGCGCTTGCGCTCGTGTGATGGACTGCAGGCCTGGGGTGGATGGAGCGAAGCGCAGCTTAGCCACTTGCTTGCAGCAAGGGCGCGATCTCCGGAATGTCTTGTGATGAGTTGCTGCTGTTCAGAGATGGTTCCACTGTCGCGAGTCTGCGAATTGGGAGGGACCTCCCTCCACGGCTCCGACCTATTTGCCGAAGCCCCGGTCAAGACAAAATCTCGAGGCTTCGGCGAGTGAGGACCTGTGTTCTTGGGGCCTTCAGGTCGGAGTCGGCTTCGAGTTCACCGGCTCGACGCCGATTGCTGGGAAGCGGCCGCTTCAATGCCGAGGACATCCGAGTTCGGAGCAGAGGAAAAGTATAGGTCTGCTTGAAGATGAGGAGCTAAAATGTTTCCAGCGCATTCCGTCTCCGTCATCGACTTTTCAGCAGAAAGCGGAGGCGAGGCCTTTTGACGTCGGCAGACGGCAGACGGCAGGTGTACTGGCAGAACATGGGCCCCATGAGGAAGGCGGCGTCTTAAGACCTGGGCCGGCCGGGGCCGGGGGCAAGGGGGGAAGTCGCTTTGGAGGTCCACGGTGACCTGGGTCTCCACACGCTTCCGGCAATGAGGGCCATGCGCTCGGTCTTCGCTTGCATCTTGAGGGCATGCGACCTGACGAGTGGCGAGTTGAGACCCGACTCTTAGATAAGACTTGCAAGAGCAAGCCGAGAGCTACCGAAAAGAGCCCAGCGACCTCCGACAGCCCGATAAAGATATTGCAGGAATCCGGTTTGCTCACACGATAATGCACAAGAGTGGGTTCGTGATCATGGGCCTGTGGCGAGAGTGGAACATCGGCCACCAAAGGAGGTCCAGCGCTAGCCTTGGCCAGGCCATTCCGTGGGACTGTGGCAAGAGCACATGTGGGCCCACGAGAGGGAGCGGATAGGCATCCGGCATCGTTCCAGACCTTGTCCTCGCCCACCAGTTTGAACACGGGCATTGCAGCAAGCAGGATCGCCTTTGGGATGTCTGTGCGTGCTGCGTAGAAAGGCGAAGCTCTCTCGATATTGGGTTCCTTGGCTTGTGCAGCGTGCTTGTCCGGGTTTCTGAGAGCTAACAGTCGAGCTAACAGTGCCGCGAGCCCGGTCGGAGAGGGCATGGATGGCCCCGAGCATCCCTGCCATCACGCGCTCGCGGCTCGCCCCCACCACCCACTTTCGCTATGGAGTCATAGAGCTCGGCCGCAACACCAAAACATAGGGCTCTAAAAATCTGGGAGAGGACCTGCGGTCAAGTTGGGCCTGTGGCGTCCCGTCGCCCAGGGCGAATTCTATCGCTACCGCGCCGCCTCGTCGCCCCAGGAACGGAGCTTGACAGAGCCTCGAGTCTGGCGCCTGTTTGTTGCCGTCTGATTTCTCAGGAAGCGAAAGAGGAGACGACCAGGCGTGCAGCAGCGCTCAGCTCAGACGGCAGGCTGAGTAGCATGTTCAACGCAGTGGCAGGCAGGAGCCCGTCGCCGAGAAGCCGACGCTGCTACCGAGGGAGGCATAGAGAGAACACCGGAACTCTTTCGTGCAGAGAGAGAAGAGAAAACATCTCCAGGAGATGACGGCGAGCTTGCTAGATGAGACCGGCACTCGGGGCCAAGAGGTTCAAGATGAGAAAAGCAGAGCTGCTGGAGCTGAGCTTTGAGGATCTATCCTCGGCGACCACCGTCCAGGGAGAAGGAAGAAGATGCGAGAGGCAAGTCCGTCGCTTACACCGTCAAAAGGAAGCTGCCTCGTTCTTAGGCTCCCTCAATGCCGAGGTCTCAGAATCAGAAGCTGCGGAAGCAGACCGCATCCAACTTGCCAGAGCAGCGCACCTAATGCCGTCACAGAGGGTGTTAGCCTTGCGTGATTGTCTCATCTCAGGCAGAATGGCCACATCTCTGGAGCCAGTGCCCAAGACTTGATCTTCGGCTTGTCCACCAACACCTCCTTGAGCTCTCCGAGGAACGTGCCACACTTGCACCAACCTCAAGTAACCCAAGTCGCTTTCGATTTGTCGGAGGCAGTGCAACGAGAACTTGCAGTGGTGTGTTGTACTAGCAAGGCAAACGGTCTCGCGGCCAACAAATCCTTGTCACAGGCTTCCCGACGGCCGCGAGCCTCATAAGGCTGCTCAGACTTTTCAAACCGGTGAACGTGCTGAGGCTGATCCATTTTCGACAAAGGATCCTTGAGAAGTTCTCGACCATGAAGTCTGCCTTCGAAACGTGGTTTACTTAGCTGGGAACTGTCTCTGTATGTCTCTGTTGCCCATTCACTTTGAGCTCTCGCCGTTGCAAATGTGAGGTTTGCACAGGAGCATGGCCCTCACGGCCCCACAAAAGAGCTTACAAAGAAGGAGCAGCATGCACAAGCTTCCTTGTGCCCCCCCACAAGTCTGCTTGCGTTAGGAGTTCTCGCGGTTCCTCTTCCGTCACTTCAACGGCCTCCCGAAGGAGGTGCGTGTGCCGTCTGCTGGTACACGGACCACGGTGAGCTTTTGTCCAGTTGAACCTTGGTGGTGACGATGCGTGCTGCGAGCTTTGCACGCGACCTTCCGTTGGCTCTAGGAAGGCAGGGTAGATGCATGGTATGATGTGCTGCGGCGCGCTGGATCGAGCACGCGGTGCCTCGGGCGAACGGAGAGGGAGGAGCGAAATGGAGCGAAACGGTCGCCCCTCGGCTGCCGCCGCGAGTCTCTGCCATAAGGTGTTCTCCAGGCGCAGCGGGCGCAGGCGCAGGAACCATGGCTGGAGCCTCCGCGGTCCTCAGCCGAGCACCGGTTACCCTTCTTGAAGCAAAGTTGATGTGCTCGGATGGACCTGGTTTTTTAGGTCTTCATCATGGACATGAAGGGGAAGGTCATCATCAGCACGAGCCTCACGAGCTTCACTTACTTGGGAGATGCAGCAAGTCTTGCACCTGGGGAGGCAGAAACTATCGAGGTGAAGTGCCAATGAACATCACCGAAAGGTCAGCCATTCTTGCATCCAATAACTTCAAAACGCCCCTTGCGGCAATGCGCCCTGGCAAGGTTCCAGCAGCACGTGATTGATGCTGAGGACGCGACGATAAAGCCAGTCTTCTGCGAGGACGCGTGGGCTGTGCAAGGGCTTCGTTTTGTTTCCTTGTCTTCACGGCTTCGCATCCTCTTGGTGCTCAGCGCGAAAAGCCCCAGGATGGCATCAGTTTCGCCTGGATCCAGCACTTCGTCTGAATTTCCGGGAGCAGTGTTGGACTGGGCTCTGTCTCCGGTTGAGGTTGGGTAGTGTTGATTAGGCCATCGGGGCAGCTAAAATGATGTCTAGCAAGGTACAACAACCTGTACTTGTTAGCACGGCCCTCAGAGCTCATGGTTGCCATGCTGACAGAACTTGACGGACTTTGGCTGTAGCCAAAAGCAACATCGAGGCTGTCACCCAGAGAAACTCCAACGCCACCTTGATTGTGGCCTTTCTCTATAGATTGGCAGAGGTGTGGATGTGTGCGTGTGCGTGCGTGTGTGTGTGTGTGTTATCTTCGCGCAGCATGTGCACTATGTCACATACATGAGATCCTGTCCAGGTTCTCAGAGATTACTTCAATGAGCTCGAGGAGGAAAGCATAAAGGACAGCTCGTGAGATCATCTACCATCCAACAGTTGTCTAACCTCGAAATTCAGGACAACTTTGTGATCACCTATGAGCTTCTAGATGAGATGATGGACAATGGCTACCCTCAGACAACCGAGGCAATCGTCTTGAGCTGATTCGCCGATCTGACAGAGATTCGGAGACTGAATGAGGTCAAAATCCTAAGGGAGTACATCAAAACCCAGTCACACCAGCTGGAAGCTCGTCTCTCACTGCTGAGTCTTTCTGCCGAGTGCCTGTCCCGCAAGGCTGTCTGTGGACCAGATGCGACCGCCCACAGCAGTGACAAACGCCGTGTCATCAGCTCAGTGCTCGCAGCAACTCTTCGAAAGTGGGCCATGCGCAGTTGTCGAGGTCTTGGCGGTCCGAGGGCATCAAACACAAGAAAAACGAGATTTTTTTGGATGTTGCCAACGACCCGGATTCAGTTTCAGTTGAAAGCATCGGGGGTGCTCTGCTCTGAGTCAGAGCTGGCCTTTTGCGATCTGAGGTGGAGCGCCTCAACCTCTTAGTTTCAGCCAACGGCTCTGTGCTCCGTTCGGAGATCTTGGGTGCACTTAAAATGAAGCCGACTACTCAGCGAGTACACCACGATAGAAGAGCTGTTGCGATGGTGGCTGCCATGGGACTTTAGGTCATACCTTTCCGGCATGCCAGAGCTGAAGCTGGGTCTCAACGACAAGCTTCTCTTCGAGGTTCCCGGCTCAGTGAGAGTGTTGCACTACTAGTTTACAGTGTGCTGCAACTGTCAGGCCACTGGACGACCTGTGGCCAAGGGAAAGTCCGTAGAAATGGAGGCTATACCGTGACACCGCGACACCTGCACGCCTTGTCAGCACGGCTTTACGACTCCGACGCGTGCATTATTCTGGAGGACATCAAATTCCATCAGTGTGTACGGCTCGCTCGATTCGAGAACGACCGCACGATCTCCTTCATTCCGTGGGCCCCAACAGCCCCAAAGGGTTTCTGTCTGGGTCAGAGTTCAGCCGGACCTAGGCCCGACGGAGAGTTCGAGCTGATGAGTTACAGACTGAACACCCATGTGAAACCCCTCATATGGGTCGAGGCTGGAAGCTCTGCGCTCTTTGCTGCGCACTTTCTTTGCGCCTCTTTGAGAGCGGCAGGCAGTGGTGGATCCCGGCCACTCACGGTCGAGGATCGAGCAGCTCAGACACGGAATAGGGGCATCTTCTTGTCTTGTGTTGCCTCACACGCTTTCTATGGCTTTTCCGACACATGTTGCTGAGGTATATGATAAAAGCGAAGTCGCAATTCAAATCGCCATGCGCCCAATTGCTGCATGGATTTCTGGCATTTTTCGGATATCGAGTGGAATCTGCCCAGGCGTAGTGTTGCCAACAACGTGGAGATCCACATCCCGGTCCCGTCAGACGTCGACTCGCCGTCATTCAAGACGTCGATCGGCACCGTCAGATATATCCCCGATCAGGACCGGAAGGCCCTCGGCCCTAGGCCTTTCGGATGGGAGACTCCCAATTCAATTGCCTTCGGCCGGAGCTCTCTCTCTCTCGGGGCTGCCTGTGTGCAGGACTGCATAGTCTGGAGCATCAAACAGTTCCAAGGTTGCAGCCTCGGAAGTGTCAGAACCTCTTCTCCATGGTATCACTCTGAAGCTAAGATAGGCATTGCTACTTTAAGCCCTTGGTTGAATGGGTTCTGGACATGAAATTGAATTCTTCGTTGTTTGCATTTCAATCGCTTATGTTCTGATAGGCTACTTACCATCCAGTGTTATTGTATCGCCCTGTATCGCGCCACTACAGTACATAGTCGTTTGAGTTGATGATGGGATTGTCCTGGTTGAGGAGTATAACGGTAGCAGTAGTCATCATCATCATCATCATCAGCGTCATCACCATGCTCCCCCATGTTTTGTGGTCGTGAAGAAGCTTTGATGGGTCGAGTCGGATGCGAGACCTGGCCTTAGCATCTGGAGCCGGTCTCAGTTCAGTATCTTAGCCTTGCTCACTGACTGTCTTCCCTGTTACTTCCTCCCGTTTGTCTCTCCTCCCTCTTCTTGGGTATCGGAATAGGGAATGTGACAGGGTCGACCGCATCTCGCAATTTGGAATACTCTCCGTGAGCACAGATGTGCAGCTTTCAGGTCAGAAGGACTTCATTATGACAGCCAATTTCGGACTCCCCTCTGTCGGTGCAGAGAATCGGGATGCCTACATGAAGGCACTGAGCTCCTCTCGATTTCGACTAGGCCACAATTCCGACACGCTTATCCTTAAGCGGTCTCCAGGCACCAATGTCTGTGAAGTTCGAGATCCCGTATTTCACCGTTTCCGGAGTGACAGTCAGGTGGGCCCATCTGTTGCTCTTTGATCGAAGTCTATGCTTCCCGATGTGCCAGGTATCTCAAAATTATCGAGAAGTCTGGCTATCAGGCTACATATTTTATATGCTTCACTTATCCACTGCTTGTTGGGCCTTGCCGATGAATTTTTGTTGAAGCAAGTTGCATTCTAGAATCGCAGGCGCTTCCCTGGGTGCGCTACATCACCCAGAATGGGGATTACCAGCTTCGTATGGTCTGGCACCAAGTCGCCACGGTCGTCGCTTCGGTGTCGCCATGTCACTTCGGAGGTCTAACGGCCGCAAGCTTCGACAATGACCCTGAGCAGCCTGGAAACTCAGCTGCCGTTGCCGCCGTTGCCGCTACTGTTGTGTCGGTTTGTCGAGGCACCATCGCTCTGCAGAGATGGCCGGCTCAATCCTCCTGGGCTCCTCTTGTCCAGAGCACTCTGGAAATCTGGAATGCGTAATTGGCGCATCGGCAACTGCCAAGATCTTCAGCGATCTTTGCAAGTTCTCTGACGGGGCCTGTGCAGATGGCCTAGATCGGATGGCTCTTTCCTCCAATACGGCTGTTGAAGTCCATTCAGATCAATACACAATGCTGCTGTTAGGGTCGCAAACCTTACCTTGGTCACAGTCACATATTCGATTGAGCAATTCGAGAGCGAGCATGAGCAAGCGAAGCAGCTCGAAGGCTTGAACAGCGGAAAAAAGCCTTGGGAACTGTCGCATCAGAACTCGTGCCAGGATAATCATGCTGCATCCTGCTTCTTGTTTGGGAGGTTGTTCTAGACTCCTTGTGTGCTACGGGAGGAACACGTGAAAATCTTCGAGTTCCTGGACCATGACAAGAATGGCCATGTACTCAGATTAGAGTGCTTCTACAAGGAGATGGAGCCAGAGGAATGGGTCGCCGAGGCGTTGTGTCGCTGGAGGAGTTTCACACGGCCGTGGAGGCCGCTGCGCCGGTGAAATCCCTCGAGGCAGGCGGCCGAGACAGCGAAGGGAAGCCGAGCTCCCAGAGAGAGCCTCTTTCGCGATGTCTTTTCTCTGAGGATTTGCGTCGGAAGTGGATCGCTCTCGGCTACACCTCCATGAGACAGGTCGGGCGCGCGGCCCCGCTTCTGGCAGAGACCGGAACGTAGCATGAGAGGCTTTGTTGGGCATGGACCTGCACAAGGAGCCTGGCAGGCAATGTGGGACCTGTGTTTCCAGTCTGGGCCCTTTACTGCCTGTGCCCTTGTCGAATGCGACAGATCCTTTACCCTGGCAGAGTTCGGGGTGCACCTTGCCCGAGTAGGAGCGGCAGAGAGTTGTGCCGGAACTTCATGTCACACATACACACACACACACACATAGCCGCAGGAATTGAAGAGGAGACAGAGCATCAGGCAGTGCTTGCATGATTCCACGGAAAGCAGTCTACATTTTTACATTTCTTCAGTGTCAGAACATCTTCGGGGCAATCCGAGACCCTCACAGCTCACACCAGACTGTGCCGCCCTCACGCCGTGATGTACCATCCTTCCATTTTCTGGCAGTTCTTGGAACACGTCTTCCCGAGCAGGTAACGCTTGAAATGCTGGCGGCAGCAATGAGTGCCATTTCGCCTTCCTTGCTACTGGAGGAGTGCATGCCGGAGCACACAAGCTAGCCCCCCCTGTGCTGAAGTTCAGAAGGACCTACGCGACAAGATCCTCAAGAAGTTTGGGCTTGGCATCCAGCTATTTGTGAAGCGGATCTCTGTGCGACCCCAAACTCCTTTCAGGACGCTCTCCAACTGTTTCGCAGCGCTTGACATGGATCAGGGCGACAGAGGCTTAGCTCCGGCACGACATGGCGTTGAGACTGGGTGAGAGCTGCTTGTTGGCCGCACAGCGCGACTGAGGAGTCCTTGGACATCGGGGAATTCATCCGCTATGCCGTTCCTGCATGGAAGCGCGGGGCGGGCTTTCCTGGGAGTGAAAACCTTTTGTGGGGAAAGTGCCGTCTGCAGGTTGACGGCTCACGAGGCAGGCAAGGCTTTCCGGCTGATCGACGTCGACGGCAGCCTTCAAATAAGGCCAAGCATCAATGTGCTGCACATGCTCACGGCTTTGGGGGTGCGAAACTTGTCAGTAAAGACGAGTTCGTCACCGCACTAACGCTTTCAGAGCCGCCATCTTAGCTCTCCATCCCCTGCTCAGGGGATGTTGCGTGCCGGCTTTCACACTACCAGGCCAAACCTCTATCTGGATGAGATTCGTCGCAAAGTTCGTCAGCGTTTCCGGAGTGCGCCCACCAGAAGACTCCTTTCCAGCTTCTGTTTCAGATCAGACCTTGACAAGAGGGCTTGACTACTGTCCTCCCTAGGTGCCAAAGGGCTTGGTTGGGGCTCAGGGTGAGCGGTTTCATTGCAGCAACATGGCGACTGGTTTGGTGCATCGTCTTTGCATTGTATGTCCGGTATGATGTCGAGATCGCCGATTTCCCTCGCAGAGGTGACGAGTGAGGTAACTACTTGTAGCTAACGTCCGTCAGAGGTATGCGAGGGCTGCTTAACGAGGGCAACGAGGACGACATCGAAGTTGATGAGGCACTTCACCGCCAGATGATCACGGCAATGCTTTTCGATCACACGCCCGCGACGGGGGAATTCGGCCTTTGATTCTGTGCAAACGAGAATCTTTTGCAGGGTAACTGAATAACTCCTCTAGCCCTCTAGCTGCTGCTTAGCTCTTCAGCGTCTTCCCAGCTACCACAGGTACTCCACCGCAGCCCTTGTAGGCCGCGGGTTCGCTAAGCTATGTTGGCTCGTTCATCGGATGCCAGCCCCGCTGTCGTGACGCGAGCTATTGCACAGGGGCGAAGTGGTTGCCACGGGACCCACTAAACGATTTCTAAGCTGGGCCAAGCCGTGCACTTGCCCGCGCGATGTCAGGCTGGAAGGTTAGGTTTAGTACTGAGCGTGGTCTGCCGGTTTTGTGAAGGGTTGTGCATTGCCAGTTCCGTCGGTGTGTTTATGGCTTTTGAAGCCAAGGGAGGGCTTCAGTTGCTAGAGTATTCCACTCAGTTGCTGCTGTGCGCCCAGCCTTGTATGCGGCATGGTGCCAGACAAGCCACAGGTGTTGTGTTTGATAGTTTCGTTGTCGAGTTGGCTTTGGACGAGATCTTGCAAATCGAGTTTGCTTCTCGGCTTTCTCGGTTTACGACGTGCAACAATAGTGATAGCTACCGTGCGAATTAAGCCTACAGCGCTTTTGAGCGTGTTGATCTGCAATATGCAACTCCGCCAAAGCCACACCCTCGCCTCGTCTGATTGCTATGGGCTGCAGAACCCCTCCTTGTTTTGCGAGCCTGACGGATTATGGCTTGACAGCAGTGCCGTGTTTGGGGCAGATCTGAACATCGCCCGTGATCTTTTGCGCGTCGCTTTCTGCAGAGCCACCCAGACACGGCAGAAGACCATCCTTTGGGAGCAGATGGGATGCCTTGCAGTCCGAGTCCTGTTGAGGTGGATTTGAAGCCGCCTCCACCACCGGCAGTGGAGATCGCGCCCTCCAGGCCTGTCTGTAGGCTGCAAAGCGGATTTCGATTGACCTGGCTGCAAAGGAAAGGGTCTCTCTATCAGAGGCATTCCATCGTGGTCCAGGCCAGGAGGTGTTCTGCGCAGTCTGCGCAGCTGCGCGGCCGGCATCGCCTGTTTTTCCGGAGAGGACTCCCCCCGCAGCGACGGCAATGGCGGGATGACCGCAGAAGAGTAAGGAACCAAGAACTACTAGGGTGACCGGGGTGGGCATGCATACACTTGCGCAGCATGATGTCCTTGTTTCCTGCCTGTGCCCAGATCCCGGCGGGCCGGCCGCCCAGCGAAGGGAAAGTCAGATCGTCGAGTTTTGGAAGGCAGCTGGTTTTTGTCCCTGAGGCTTCCTGGATCGCGAAGCATTCGGGCCTCGGAGCCGAGAAGGCGCAAGACCTTCTCAAGGCGCACAGCGCGCAGAGCAGCTTGCGGGGAGAGACCTTCCCACGGCCGAAGTTGAGTTGCGGCTCTCGAGTGGTTCTGCCGAGGACCTGGTCGGACCTGCCTCTGAGAGCGAAGATGATGGCCGGAGGCCCAGCCGGCACAGAGCATCACAGAGCATCACAGAGCATCACAAAAGACTGCGGGGCGGTGTCGGGCAGCTGTGATGCCCTTTCTCCGAGGCCGCACGCCCGAGGAGTATCAAGAAATGCTCGGACAGGCCCTCCGGCGCTTAAGAGACTCTTGCCGTGGGCACCACTGCAGGGCAAGCGGAGCTATCCTACTGGAAGCACCGGAAGCACCGAACAAGAGCGTCCAAGGGGAAAGAGAGAGCGGGTTTCAAGTGGACCATCGAGCAGTTCAAGAGCTCACAGACTGCATCAAGAGAGGATCCCGAAGTCAGAGCGAGAAGCAGCAGAATCGCAGACCCAGAAACACACTGTGTCCCCTTACTTCGCAGGTGCAGCTATCCGAGCAAGACACGAAAGCACTCTTTAATCTCATGGACGTGAACCGGGACGGCAAGGTACAAAGCAGGGCATTTACAGTTGGTGAGCTCGAGCTTGCGAGCTGCAAGAAGAAGTTGCGCTGCTTGTGCCACGTCCGCAGCTGACAACGACGGAGTTCGAGCACGGAGTGCGGCTCTTCGCCCCCTCCACGGCGCTGGAGGCGAAAAGCGGGAGCGGAGAAGCGAGAAAAAGCGGAATTTCAGAGAGCTCAGGACCTTCGCCTGGCCTGCATCTCGTGCCCTTGCCGGCATGGGAGGACGAGACGAGTCTGTGACGTGAGCTTGCCGAGGAAATACGGAGGCATCCCCGAAGCCTTCGCATCCCTCCGCCCGGAACAGCGGGAGGTGGGGAAGGGACGGGAGGGGAGAATCCCAGAACGCCTGCCGATCTTTCAAAGTGAAGGCCAGTTTGGAGTATCACCAGCTCAAGAAGATACTGGAGGAGAGCTGCTCTGCTCGTGTCTGCTAGACATCTGTCGCGCCATGTCGCCTCCGTGTTTGTAGAGAGCTCACTCGGAAGGGACTGCGGAAGGGGAGGTGTGACAGCATAGTTGGAAGGATATTCGAATATGGGATGAGGGCACCGGTGATCTGCGATTGATCATGGACATCGTGGAGTCGCTGCCTTACAGGACGAAGCCTGCAAGAGCCGAGAATACGGTCGTTGTGTGACGGCATGATGTCTTGAACGCGAAAAAACAAAGACATTTGACATTCAGCAAAGACCAACGGTACGTAGGACAGAGGCAGAGCATGTCAAGCTCGAGAGTTCGAGCACGCAAGCGAAACCTGAACATCTGTAGGACCGCCGGCACACTTGCAGAAATGCTGCCGAATCTTTCACCTGGCAGTTCTTTCTTTGCCGTGGCGATGGCTGGTCCTCCATGCGTCTCTCCATCTCTCTCTCAGTGGTACTGGATGTGCAAAGCAAGAAACACGCATGCGCCTGTGAGGCTTTGTTAATCTAATTCCGGATATGTCTTGACTAAGGCAGCATCCAACATAAACTGAGGGCAGCATCTTTCTAGTCCTTCCCTCAGGCCCTTCAATCGTTCCGAGAAAGCAGTCAAGGAGAAAGCAATCGAGAGCAAAGCCAAGAATGCCTGGCTGCCCACCTCTTCTAGGATTCTAGGTGCAGTGAACACGCAGCGATGAACCAAAGTTGCACGAAGACCCTGCAGGCGCTGATGCTCAGGGCGCCTCAAAACGAACAGCTTGCACAGGTGCACCAGAGACGGTGGGACGAGCATCGGCGGTCCTGGCAGAAGTTTGCAGGCGGCAATCGTTCTCTTAGGCCATGTCTTTGCCAGGTGAACTTATGGCAGCCCTCCAAGCTGGGCAGTCCGGAACACAGGCCGGTCGATATCCTGCATGTCCATGTTTCTTGGCACAGCGCTCCACGTTTATCTCATGTTGTTTCCCGGAGATTTTCGTCTGAGCAGTGAGACACTGACTGCTTCGAGTTGGGTTGCCGACTGACACTCGCAGCCAACAGATAGCCGGCAGGTGTTCGGCAGGTCGACCGGTATTTCGTTACAGTTTAGATGTCTGCTCAGCATCACAGAAAGCAGGAGAAGCGTCATTTCAATCGGGGAAAGCTAAAGAGCACGGATATCAAAAGTGTTAAAGCACGAAAGTCACCAAAACATAATGTTGTATCCTTGAAAACACATCGCAAGCTTACCAACTGTACTTGTGTTGCCCTGAGCAGTTTTTTTGCGCGACCTGATTGGGCTCTAGTCCCCAGCGAACAGGTTGACTTAGCGCTAGCTGCCCTTTAGCTGTCATTCCTGAAACTTCGGGTTATCAGCCGTAGTTAGCAGCCGCCCTCGAGGAGCAACTCCCTTCTAAGCCCAGGACGACGGCGCTAGATAGTTTAGCAGAGAGGCAAAAATAGAGAAATGGCGAACAATTAGCGACCCCTTGCGCAACAAGCTCGCTGCAGTTGCTTCTCCTCCCGGTTGTCGTTGACAGCTGTTGTGGCCCAATTACAGTACCCTCCTTCACCGTCTGGATTGTTGCTTTTTCGACTATTGATGGTCAGTGTTGCGCGCCCGACCAAATCATCGCAACGGTCGCCTTAAAGAAATCTGAAGCTGGAACAGAGGCGAATCCGCGAGGACACCTCGAGATGTCCCAGGGCTCGTAGCGAAACTTTCCGTCGTGGCACCGTCAGTTGACAAATGGGTGCGGTTTGGTCCGTTTGATACAAGCCCACCCAATACAGGCTCCGGTCTGAAGTTGTGGGAGGTCATGGCATTGGAAAGACTGACATTGCGCTCAGGATGACAACTGTAAGAGCTTGCGATGCTTTCAACAGGCTTCGAAGTGGCCGGCCTCTAGTCCTGTTCATGGAACAGCACAGCGCCGCCTTCGACATGTCCCAACCGAGAGATGGCCACCACAGGGTGGCTGCAATAATCTTAGGACATTTCGCGCTCACTACTGCCGCAACATCGAAGCACTTCGGCTTTGAGCACGTCTTTGGTGAGAGGAGAGCGCAGGAGTAACCCCTGAATCGATTTCACCAGTCCCAAAGCGCTCCGGAAAGGTTCGGCTCCCGGCGGAGCAGCGCGATGCTAAAGTGCGGCAGCAGGCGAAGCGCGGCTTCGCTGAATATTGCAGAAAGCAGTTGTGAAGACGGTGTGAAGGTGAAGTGGCAGATGGCACCTTTCCGTCGATGTGCTTCTGATCTGCGAGCCCATGGATACATGCTCAGATTGCCAAGCTCATCATTCTTGTGGCCTTGCACAGAAGCCTTGCACCTTCAAAGGGACAATGAGTTACACAAGCGAGCCCGCCTGACAGGAAGAGGAAGTAATTTACGGGGCTTCTTGAGGTGACGGTTTCTCTCAGCGTAAGGACGACAGGGGCATGAAGGGGAGCCTGGAGCGCCGGAGGAAACCGAGGGAACTGGTGGACCGGGAACGGAAACCCACGCATGGCTCGCTCAGTTCGGGAGAAGCTGAATGCCCACGAGTTGGAGCAGATATGGAATCCCAGGTGGGGCTGCTAGGGCCTGGTAGGGACAGGCGTCTCCTGCACATCGTCACGCACGCCAGGTCTCAGGAATCGCATGCTGCGGACAAGAGCAGAAGTGCAGCCTTGCGTGCCGAAACTCAGACGGCCATCCACAAGTGGAAGAGGCTGTCGTCACGCTGTCATGTTGTAAGCAGATTACAATCGAGCTGTTACCACGTGGAGTGTCATCTCGAGCGCACTCGCTGCACCGCTTGGGGTGTCTGCAGGGATAAGAGTCTGCCCGCCTTGCGGCGCATCGAAAGGGCCTCGGATCTTGCGTCTCTTGCATTACGCACAGCCGCATAGAGCAAACAGGATCATGAGGGTCAAGACCCTTCCTGGGCCGGGTTGCGAGCCGAGATGCGCTTCTGGATGCGGCGCGTGGTGCGTGTTCTGCATGTTCGTGGTGTTGCATGTGCTTGCTGTGTGGCCGTCCCGTCCTGGCTGAGGTTGTCCATGGCTGCCGAGGACACTGGCTTGTTGGATTTCGGAAGAAACACTGCCGGGTGAGATTTCAGGAGGAGCTTTCGAGCAACACCATTCCGTGGGGCCCCATGCGCACGAGCTTCTCCAAGGTGTCCCTTATCCGCTCTTTTCTTCTCCGCCGCGCTGTTTTGGTGCACCTCTTTGGGGAGACGAGCTTTTTTCTCTGCTGCTGACGGCTGCAGGTTTCGGGGTTCTGCCGGGCATGTGTTGAGCTCGCACAGCCTGTCAGCTGTCAGCACCTGGAATGCGACAGCCAGGTTTCTGAAGACTTTGGACACCAAGGAGCCAGGGACTTTGCTTTGATCTTCCCGAATGCGCAGCAGAAGGGTTCNNAAGGTTGGGGTCCAGGGGTCCAATCGTTGACCAGGGATCGTCGTTCAAGCGTTCGCGAAGCGTCCGCAAGCGTTTGCGAAGCGTTCGCGAAGCGTTCGCGAAGCGTTCGCAAGCGTTCGCGTGTGTNNCCCGGCCCCCGGCCCCCGGCCCCCATCCCAGCCCTGCTCCCGCAGCCCCCAGTCCTCGACCCCCAAGCCCCCCCACTTCCCAGCCTTCAGCCCGGGCTTCCAGCCCCCAATCTTGGCCCCCGCCCAGCCCACAGCCGGCCGCCTGCGGCCTGATGGGGCCCGCAGCCAGGGCGCAGCGCCCAGCACCCAGCTCCCCTCATGCGGCCCCAGAGCGCCCCAGTCTTCAGCCCCAGCCCGCAGGCTCCGAGCCCCAGCCCCCCGCCCCAGCCCCCCGACCCCCCAAGCCGAAGCCCCGAGCCCCAGCTTCCAGCCCCCCCAGTCCCCGGCCCCCAGCCTAGCCCCCAGCCCCCAGCTCCGCC